ATAAAAGAAGGAATTTGCATTAGAATGGGATTTGTTCAGTGTGACAGACCAGACCAGCAATGGAGAGCGAGACATTTTTCCCATACGTTGTTCTAGACTAAAGAGTTTTTTGGGTCAGTCTTTCGCAAAAGTAGCTAGTGTCAACAAATTGAAGATGAGCTGAAATCTTTTAAGATATTACTCCCACTTCCTGTCAGTGTTTCCACTGCCTGTCTGCTGCTGTGTTAAATCCCGCCTTGAACTAAAGTTTAGCTGGTTTAGTTGTGTTGGTTTGGGGTCGTGGAGTACCAAGGGTTAATAAACCTGCATTTCCATGGCTTGTTTAACCTTTAAAATCAGAACATTAGAGGCTGGGAGGGATTTGAAATAAAACTTCCCTTCAGATTACGGTGACAGCTTCAACTTGACTTTGCTTTACAAGGATTTAAAATCAAAATAGTTCTCACTCTTTCCGGAAATCATTCAGTGCCCTTTTTTAGCTTAAACCCCAGGGATAATTTTTCATTGTTCTTGATAGGAACTCTTTTGACACTGTCAGACGAGCAAAGTTTGTATTTATCCAGACTTTATATCTAATGTTTTCTTTACTATCAAGAACAGTTGCGGTCCAGGTTAACCTTTCAGGGTTTTTTTTTGCAAGACACCAACTAAACAGACCTCAAGCTAAGCGTCAGAATCGTGCATGATGGGTTGCAACTGGCTGGGAATACCTATTGCCTGACGTTAGATGGTATTGTATAATACAATTCTTATTAAAAATTGCTTCTAGGCAGAGCCTCTGGTAGTATATTTTATTTGTAACAGGTAGGAGGGATTCTCGACAGGTTGCTATCCTCTCTTCTTTTTACAGTGACTATTTGTGAGAGATGCTTTTGTAAGGTGAGTGGTTCAACTGACTTGAAAATTGAGTTAAGTCTAGAAATTTGCAGGAACGCTGAAATTCTTAGCAAGTCAGAGCAGGTCAGAGCAATGCTTTGTCTAGGGTGGTATCTTCTCTTTGATAGAAGGCAGGACCAGATGGTTCAGAAAAAGGCTTAAAACCCCTGTAATGGACAATTGAGCAATAACCTGCCTGGGGGAAGTTTCTGGTCAACCTCAAGCAGGTAGCGCTCAGCTTATGTCCTAAGGCATAAGGACCAAAGTCCCTTAAACATGATGCCCTCACACCTGCCATAACCACGGACAAAAACCTACTGGGTCATGGAAATGTCGCACTTCTCATTTCATACACCTGCATTTTTTTCGCCTTCTTTTTCCAAAGCTTCGTTTTCACAGTATTGTCCTTTGAAAGTTATTTCCCCCGTACAGCTCCTGCTGTCACGTATTTCTCTGTCTCCTCCACGTAGGGAGTCTGTGCCCATTTGAGTAAAAAACAATCTTCTCGACGCGTCCTGCAGATGCTTTTGAGCGACTGACAAGTCTCTCTGGTACCACAACAGAAAGACACTCTCATCCATCCCTAGCGCTGGAGCTGCTGTTCACAGCAGCAGCAGCATCTGCTGCCAGGATGCTACGGAACATAAATCTGCTGTAAAGACAGCGCTGCCACAGCCCCTGCAATCTGCAGCTCTCAGAAAACCCAGCTTTGGGCAATAGGCATTCTTATGTTCAATATTTGGATGGATGGATATGTAGTTACTCTACATACTTGAAATATCTCTCCAAGTGTAGGCATCAAGTCACAAATCTTGTCTTTAGAAGAGAGGTTAGATTGTATCTTGGTGGTCCTCTTAGAAGAGGACCAAGATCAAGAGTCTTGACCCATTCTTACACTGGTATGGAAATGAATGGATATTTAGGAGGCCTGGGCAAACTTGTGTGGGATCCTGTCTGTGTTTCAAATGCTGAAGTGAGTAGGAATTTTGCATGCAAATAGGCCAGAGATCAGAGCCATGAGTGAATCTGCCCTCCGGTGATTTCTCCCGCGTCTTCTACGGCCGGCTTTAGTCTCGAATGCAAAGTTACTTAATGCAAATGAATGAAAACCTGAGCTAGTCTGATCTGCTCCTTTTCTAATCTCTTTTTTTACTTGTGATACTTCCAAGGAGTATCTAATGGAAAAGAGTTTGCTTGGCAGCAGCGGTTCACCCTTCCTCTCATAAGGAAACCGTTCTCTGGTTCATGTCAGTGACATTTGAGGTAAGCGCTGAGAATCATGTGAAAAAGGGAGATCTGGGCCTTGATTCTCCACTGTATTACGCACCATGTACCCTGTGGTCTGATTGACTGCTGCCAAGCAATAGGAGCAGGCTGATGTGACAAGGGAGCAAGCTTCTCAGTGACCTTGAGGTAGGTGGACACCTCTTCATCGCTGAAACCCTTGGACCTCTAAAATCAGAGGTCCTTGGGGACAATACAAGCCATCCTGTTGCACTGCTACAGGACAAGGTCCTGAAAGCTACTCCAGATCCAGCTCCCTTGGATCCTGCTAGAACCATCTGTGCCTTAAATAGAAGTGTGGAATCATTTTATGGACTAAGATCATTTTGTTAGTCCAATAGGGTAAGTGCCTAAAGGAAAGCGGGGAGCTATGGTATTTAAAGATTTCTTTACGGCAAATCATACCTTGCCGTGACTTGCCTTTGTTTTTCAATAAGTACTCCTGGTTGAAATACCATAGTGCGCAAATGCGATAGGTAGAACTTGTTTAAGGCAGTTTTTATAGCAACAGCAAACTGTTCCCAGGTTAAAGTTTCCTTTTTTTCAAAAAAAAAAAAGTGTTATCGCCCTAACTTTTCTTTTAAAATAGCATAAGGTAATTTAGCAAAAGGTACATTTTGAGTGCAGTCTGCAGCAACTAATGGCAACATTTCCTACAACATGACCATTACACTTTTGTATACTTTAATGGACCTTATAATGACGTTTTTATCATTTCACCTTAGACAACAGTGGAAAAATATTTTTACTTGCATTGTTTATTTGAAAAGGAAAAGAAAGGAATTTTGGATGAACTTTCTTCAGCTTTACTTTCATAAGTCCAGTCTCTTTCATAAAAAGTAAAGCTTTGCCTTCCATCTATTTTTTGCTCCAGAGTCGGTGTCTCTAACGCTCTCTTGAAGAGCAGCTAACGCAGGTGCAAATGCAGTGGTCAGTTTGCAGTGTTGCACCTGAAGGTTTCTATGGGGACCCGGGTTTTATCACACTCTTTACAAATGCCATGCAGTTTAATACATTTTGTATGCTTAGGAGGCTGTGAATTACAGATTGGAGATTTTATTTTTCTACCATGAAATAGATTATGATTGAAGTTTGGAGTGGAAAGGGGATGGGGGTTTGTTATGTTGGATAAATTGGAGATCTAACGAGCCTGCTGGCAAAGATCCCTTTGGTGGCCCATGACCTGTCAGTGCAACCTGGTCCTATCGATGCTTTTGTCTTCTGTTGGGCTGGCAAGACTCTTAAGAGCAACTGTCAGGGGCCATGTCAGGTGGCCCCTATTGATGTGCACAAGAAACAAGTCACTGTGCAGCTTGCTCTGTTTTCTGATCATTTCTCAAGTAGAGACTTAGAAATTTGTGGACGACTGAGGCAGGAAATACAGGCTTGCCACCTTTACTCCAGCTTGGTTGAGGAACATGTTCTTCTAGAAAGAAATGAGCGTGCTGGCATTGCAGAATGGAAGAAGATTTATTAAATGTTTAACCACAGCATGTTTCAAGGTGTCCTGTAGCAAGAGCTGTGTGCTGAGCATCTTCACTGAGCACCTTTGGGGACAGCCAAGGAGGAGGACACCCATTTGTGGCTATGTAGAAATCAGAATTGCTGGAAAAAAAAAAACACTTAATTGAAATGAACAGTGGCTATAGCCCATCACGAGCAGACAGACACAACAGTTCCTCCAACTTAGGCTGTTTTCCCAAAGGTTGCCCCAGATCCCTTAGTTCTCCTTTGCTGCACTGATATCAAAACGAATTCCCACCAAACTTCATTGTAATGAAAGATATATCTTTGCTTCTTAGAATAGTGCTCTTCTATGTGAAATTATCATTTTTTACAAAGCAGATGACTCATGTCAGGAGTATTCTTAAAAGCCTCTGAGAAACATGTCTCTGTTGTTCACAAAATTTTGCCTTTTCGTTAAGTAGTACTCAGACAAACTAACTTCAGTGCCAATCACTGCCTGCTCCTGTCTTTTTCCTGTCACAGATGGCAGGAGACACATTTGGGACCATTAATAACAGAAGCTGTCAGCAATTCTCCTAATAATATGACCCCACTGCCTCCTCTAAAGACAAAATAACAGGATTTGTATAGCAGAAACTATTGCTCAGTGATGGGGACATCATCATCTGTCATCACTGTTTTATTTCTGAGGGATCTGCTCATGAAACTTGTAGTGGTTTGAACTACCATCAACCACTGTTTGCCTTCAAACATAATGCAAAGCCAATGGTGGGTTCTCCTGCAGCTGGTCTCTCCTGGAATACACATGCTCTGCATTCAGTCAGTTGGCTCCAGCAGGCCATGTTGCTGATTTTTCCCCAAAGATACTGGATGGCTTAAACATACTGGGAACAAAAAGGTCAGGCTTGTTGGTGGCCTGCTTTTTGAACATTTATGTATCTGTGCCAAAGCCCAGCAATTTCTGTTCGCCTTTTCTCGGCTGGTCATTTTGGCCAGCAGCATCAGCAATGCAGGACCTGTCTGGACATAGACAGGACCATCCTGCTGATTCAGAGCCTCACCAAAACCACACCTGAAGGAGGAAGGTCCTGGGTAGCTGTTGGGGGGGATTTCTAAGTCCTTACTTGATACTGCAGTTGCCTGTCTTGCTTTATTGGCTCTGAGGCACTGTAGCCCTGGGATATTTGTCATATTTTATTAATTTTAACGCCATTCTATAGGTTCCCATTTCACTTGCAAAACTCTTGGGTCCAGGCCCATTATGGCACATATAACTGCAAACTCTTGGCTTGTTCACAGGTTTCTCATCTCAGTCCTGTTCCATATCACCTCCCCTGTGCTAACAAGTGGCCCGGCTTGCTGATACAGAGCACGACTGTTACCTTGAGCACAGGCACCTCGGTGGCAAGAGCATCGGAGCACTCTGAATGTTGGTCCCTTTTGCTGGCCTGGGTCACCGTCAAGGACATCTGTTTTCAGCTTCTTCTGCAGCCTGAACTTCTCCTGAAGCCCTTAGGAATACCAGAAGAGAAGCTTCCCACCTGCAGCAAGTCACAAAATGGTATGTTTGTTTTTCTCCCTGAACAGCTGCTTGCCTTTTGTTTTCAGATATTTCACTGCTGGGCAATAATTTGTATTTACCTCTCTGCATACACCTAGGAAACAGTGTAGAAGATACTGAGGGAGAGGAAGATATCAATGATGTAGTAATGTATTATTTTGAATTTGAAAGTTTGTTTTTGTTTTTTTACATCAATTCCCAGCATGCTTTTTTTCCTGTTTGATGTAACATACTCTGGATTTTCCTTCATCTTTTTTCTCTTCCTTTTATCCCCCTCCATTTTCTCCTTATCTGTTCCCTTTTCTTTCCTCCTTTTGCTAATTTGATCTTGCTTGAAATTCCTGGCTTTTTCTCCAGTTTTCCACCCTTGGCACGAGACCGACCACTCTTCTCCATGTGATCAAACACGAGGTATAATCCCACTTCCCTCGACACTAAGGAGATAACCCCAGTGCGTGTGTCCCTTTCCTGCTTAGTGATACCGGCAGCTCATGAGCGATGACAAAACCCAGCTAAGCAGTGAGGAAACAGGAACATTTCCTGGCACCCGGCTGAAAGCCACCGTTGAATATAGGTGGTGCCAATTTGATTGATTTGCTGGGGGGATCCAAAGGGAGGGATGGAGCCATCCAAGTGGTAAGCGCCTTTACTAGCAGCGCAGATGACAGACTCAAGACAAGCCCTAAGGAGTATGTCTTTGAAATTTAATAACACAAGATGAAAAATATTCCACACTTCACTAGCAAATCTAATGCTATACAGTAAAAGCGTTTTGAGGCTTTTTCTTTTCTTTTTTCCTTTTTTATTCTTCCTTTTTCCCAAGAAAAAGGAAGCGAGATGGCTTACAAAAGTTTATTAAGAATGTGGTTTCCGTAGTGCTTGGTTTTTAGAAAATCATGCTGATGGCTGATGTATGTTTTCCTGTACTTTATAACTTTTGAAGTGTATTAATTTTCCCTGCTGGGGAAAATGTCGTTCAAGAAGATTGGGGGAGGAAGGAGGGGGCCTGACATCCTTATTAGGCTGTCACATGAAGACTGCTCCGCAGGCTCCTCAAGGTCTGTGTCGCTGCGAGAGTGACAGGCTAATAGGTTCTATTCTTAAATTCTAAGTATCCTTGATAGTGCACCGAGCAATTTATCTTTAAAATAAATAAATAAAAAAAGAGTTAAAAAAAGTTCTGCTGATGCATAGTTGCAGAAAGTCACTGGGAGATAGCCGAATAAAATTGAATTTCGCCTATCTTTTGAAAATATAAACACAGTGTATTGGCACGCTTGTCTCTGAGTGCCTGTACCCTCACAGGATAGGACCAGATGTAATTACCTCCATACTATGAATTTCATTCCTATCGCAGGATCTTGAGGCGGAAATATCACGCATTCCCGAGCCTGTGAGCGGCTGCCGTCGGTCCAGTGGGAATAGCGACTTCTGATGACACGATCCATTGTGGCGTGAAATAAGTTCATGTCGTTACGTGTATCTGGAGGAAGCACAAATGAGATTTAATAATAGAGAGATAAATCAAATACAAAACAGGTATTTATTCGCCATCCACTCCCCGAGATCGGGAATGTGAAGTTTAGCAGGAGCAGTGATGCTGAGGACTCCGTGATGCCGGCATTTTGCCTCTGATGTCATGTTTTTTTAATCTGGCCATAAATTTCTAGGTGTGAGAACACAGTAGAAGATGCTAGGCATGCATTTGAAAGAGTAATAGATGAACAGCCTAAGTATCTAAGAGGCAAAAGCTTTGATAATGTAAGGGAGTTTGCCTAAACAGTTTGGAGAGTCAGTGACTTGCCCATCACTAAATGAATAACTCTTCCTTAGGAACATTCAGGTCAGCCCCAGCCTGTGAAATGACGCAATCTAAATGCAGCTCATAAAGTTCACCTGCAGACAGGACAAGCAAGAAAATCTTGGCTTTTTGAACAAATCAGGTGCATTTGCAGCATGCTCCTGGTTTTGTTTTGCCTTGAATTGAACGGCTTGAGATGGGGGGGGAAGGAAAAAAAAAGAGGGAAATGGGAATGCTGAATTGGAAAAACAGGACGAAACCAGCAGGAACCAAGTGCACCCACCAGGGGTGATCCTGACTGTCAGCTTGGATTCTTCTTTCTTTCCATCTGTATTTCTGTCTTTTTCTAAAAGACATTGCAGCTCTAAATAGAACAGGAGCTCCAGGGCCTCTGTTCCCCAAACCAAATTATAGACGTTTCCCAAACCCTTAATGGCTTTTAATTTGGGCAGAACCAACTGTCTCACCTATGCATATAGTCAGACTCTGCATGTACTCAGAGCACATCCTCAGCGTGTGTATGCCAGCAAAGTAAACGGTGTTTGGTACATAACCCACCTTGCTTTCTCTAGCTCTTCCTCCTAAAATACTTCTCATTTCTTCTAGTATGGGATTTCTCCTACCTGTCCCTGGCTCTGGTGGTGTTATCCAGGGCCTTCCTCATACATTGCCTTAACTTCACCATAGTTATTTCATTACTGTTGTCTATTTTCTGTCCTTTATTAGGTGGCCCCTTGCTTAACCTTATATACTTTTCTATGGTCCGTGGCATCCAAGCACAACAGTCCTCCCAGGAACGATCTGAGCAGCTTATGTCTTTTAAATGATCCTGTGCTTTTGGGAATAATTTACCAGTTCAGATAAAACCAGGTCATTCTGAAATAGTTTCAGGTTCCTATACTCAGTTTATTATAAAATAATGAGGAGCTGGAGCTGAAGAAGCAACTCTTTAGTATCCACTAACAAATCTTCATTTATAAATAATATAAAGCTACTGGGGCTGTGCTCTGTTTTCAGACCACTAAAGCTTGGAGCGTGAAAGTCTCAAAGAGGTGACAAGGTGTGAAAAGCTATGGGAGAATGTAGCCCCGTGCATTGATTTTACCTTGCTATGAAGCAGTGAAAAGCCAGTATACTGGGTAGCTGCTTTCTAGGTCCTACTTTTCCTGCAATAAGCATACCCATTTTGGGTGAAAATGTATAGCATTTGAGGGAAAGGTGAAGCCTTTCGGTGCTTGAGCCTCTGTGGGTCTGTAATGTGCTCTGAACAGCGACAAGAGGATTCCTGCTCTGTATGTGAGCTTTGAATCCCTGTCACATATAATGTGGAGCAGTCTTTTTCATTTAATAATTACTCTAAATACAGCGCAAGTTGCTAATGAAAACAAGATGGAAATATAGTTGTGCAGAAGATCCCCCTGTTCATTCAGATCCACTGCTAATGCTTTTGCCTAAGTGTTTGAATTACGGATCTGCAGGTGCTAAGAGAAAACGTGATTTTAATTTTAAGCAGGGTATCTCTGTATCATGCAGAACACCAGAGTTCTCTATGTGTGTATGTATTTTTTTTTTCCTATTTTCTTTAGTATAGGGGAGTTTGTAAACTTCTGCCTCAAACTTAATAGTCCCTGGTCCCTTAATGGTACCCTGACTGCAAATGAAAGCCGACTATTGGCCTGATAGTGTGGTGGATGTATGCAGGCCAACATTTCTTGGTACCCAACAACTTTTTCATTAGAGAATTACATCCTGTTGCATTAAATAATTAGGTGCATTAACTGATCTCCTTCCCAGTTGTTCAGTCACCTCCATGTGAATGCACAGTAATAAAGCCCTGGATCTGTTGTGTCCCTGCGATGTGCAACTGGTTCTTAGTTAATGCACTTTTACCATGATTGCTTTTTAACAGAGTAGACTAGAAGATTATCTTTAAATTAAACTGTATTTATAACAACAAATAGAATCACAGGAATTATATGTTAATCAGTAGATTCTAACACTTAAACGATTTTCTAATGCTGGTTTATTACAATTACTTGATGTTTTTAGGACCTCCGATTTAATCAGTAGCTTACCCGTGATTTATTGTGGCAGAAACAACACTGTAAAGAACAAAATATTTCACCAGCAAGGATACAGAGCGAGATAATAACAAATTATTTCTAGTCATTATCATCTCTCTGCCGGAATTGTTGTCCTCGTTATCCCAGCCATCTTCGCTCAGGGGCTAATATCAGTAAATCCAGAAGGTAGAGATTCTCATAGGAATTCAGGAGGCTGGATCTCCTTCGGAAACAGCCGCTCCTTGGCTGAATCATTGCTTGCTGCAAGGATGCTAAGTCCGTATTTTGTTTATTTTTGCTGAAGGGCAGGCCAGCGTGTAGATGAGAGAAAACATCCTGATAATGAGAATAGAGCAAAGGGGAAAAGAGCTGGCATGGGTTCTTCTACAGAGATGACTCCTTGATGTTGTGTTAAAAAAGGAATGAACAGGTTGATACAACTCCGGATAAGAGGTGTCTTCCCCCTCTCCCCTGCCCTCTCAATTTATTGCTGCCACATTTCAATATGTTAAGCTGTCCACAGTGTCTGCTGCTGTTCAGATTTCCAAATTTGCCCTAAGTGCCATGGAGGACTGTTCTCACCACAGCCATTGCCAAAAGCATCAGGAACATTATGGACTCGATGGTGCCCATGAGCTGTGCTGAAGCAGAAGGAGCTGTGCTGAAGAGAACTTCCTGACTGAGTGATGAGAGAGTGATGGTCTCAATTGATTTTATTTGTCTTCTGTGTTTTTGAAGAAACACTTTAGTCCTGTAAGGACTTTGGGGTGAAGCAGACAAATGAAACGTTGATGGCTGAGCAGACGGAGCAGAGTTAGGAAAAACCTGAATTGTCTCATTGGAAAACATGAGGAGGAGAAAATGGGAACTGATGCGGTAGAGGAACAGAAGCCCCTGAGAAGTGGGTTGATCAGAGCAGGTGAAAACAATAATCTCTTTTGCAGTGTTTTGCTGGGGGAAGGCAAATAAGAAAGTCAGGGGGCAGCAGGGAGGACATCATGAGAAACAGGCATGAAGATGTTTTGGTGGAGATGTTGTGGAAGGAAGAATGAAATTGCCTGGATGCTTCAGTGTAAGGAACTGAAGCTGATGCTGAGGGCCAGAAGTATGGTAAGGCTATGGATTTGCTTATTGCT